GTTAATAAGCATGCTTCTGGAAATTTGTTGCAAATAACGATATTCAAATTACACTCAAAACTCAAAAAAAAAAAATTAATTACCTTCATTTAAAACATTAATTCTAAATGAAACCATGAGATTGTTTTTAACGTTTGTTTTGTAGTTCATCGATATCAATTACCATTTACAATAAGCATTGAAAATAAAAGTAAATAATATTTTCGTACGTCTTTTGAGAATAATTGGAGCACACACGCTTAAGTTAATTTGCAAAAACGATTCGGCATTGGGAATCACGTGAAAACACATATTTCATGCTAATACTACAGTATAAGAGCCACACTTTTAATTAAAATTTATGTGGTCACAGCGTCTAGAGTCCACAAACACACACCCACCCACGAACAAATAAAACCAGCGGCACAAAAATGTCACTCGCAACAATCGTTCAAATTATTGACATATAGAAGCGCGTTAATTTTCATAAAATTGTAACAACATTTATGAGTAAAAGCAATTCATAGGAATCACGATGATTCACCGTGCAATATAGTCATGTAAACCCGGCGATTTTTCTTGTTCTGTACAGGTCGCAATCGAAGGCTATGTGTCAGATGAGAGAAGCCGGGAAAAGTCAACGGACGCATGCGCCATTCTTGACAGGCAGCGCGCCGGCGCCAAGGCACTTCGGCGAAATTCGCGCCCGTCCTAATAATCCGACACCAGGGCGGGAGACTCGAGACGGTATTTTTTACGAAATTTATGAGAACCTTTATATACTTGTGAAACAGCTTATGATCATAATTAGATTGATTTTCGCCATAGGTAAAGAATGCTCCGAAAGTAAACTCGGTTTATTTTCCCGAGAAAGAATTTAGCATTTTTAAATGCCTAGCATATTATCTATTTATGTAGAGTTGAAGTAGAGGAGTGTTGAATTAACCTATATAAAGTGTAAATATATTTTTAATTTATTTCCTGCAAACTCTTAAGTTCATATAATTTTCTCGAGCTTTTCCAGTTATCCATAAATTTTTTGAATTGCAACTTGCCTGTAGGCCACAACCGTGCGGAATTCAAAGTTGCTATATATGAGAAAAGAACCAAGAATTTTGAGACCTTTCTAACAATGCATAATACTTTATGTTTTCTTTACAGAAATATCGAATAGTGTGAACTGTTGCTAGAACCTATGCGCACTTTGCATTTCAGCATTTGAATAACCACACAGATTGCTCTACAAGCTGAACCGTAAAAATACGAAAAAACTTTGTTCGTACGAAAGATGCAGAATAAAATTACGAATAAAATGACATATAAATGGTTAAGTGTGTTCAAATAATTTTCTCGAAATTTTCCTGTTTCTCTTGAATTTTTCAATTGCAACTTGGCTGTAGGCGCCACACCGTGCGGAATTAAAAGTTGCGATATATGGGAAAAGAATTAAGAATTTTGAGACCTTTCTAACGATGTATAATACTTTATATGTTTTCTTTACAGAAATATCGAATAGAGTTGAAATAGAGGAGCTTCGGTGCGTGAAGTAATCTTATTGAATCTATATAGTAGTTTTCGGCTAATGATACTTGAACATTCAAAATTCCAGAACAAAATTGGTTATAACATTTGTCTATTTCTATATTACGCTATTTCACACCGTAGCGCTCTTAGCCGGTCTAAGACCATATGATTTTTTACTATGGATCATCCTAAAAGAAATAGTGCACACTGACAGTCCTCAAACCATCTATGCCTTAAAAAGGCAACTGGAGCAAAAATTGCAAAGATACCGCCTGAAATGGCAACGTGATATGAAAAACTTCATAGATAACTTAACTCTCTGTATAGCAAATTAAAGACACCATTTGGTAAACATAATTTTTCAGAAATAATTATTTACTTCTCGATTTTATTAAACCGTGAATTTTTATGAATTGCCTAATTTGGGAATCATGAAATGTATCAATTTTTAACTCTTCATGTCTTCTCTTTTATCGTTGGTCTCTCAATTATATGGTAGACAGAAGATTTTGATGTTCTAGGTTGATCATCATAAGCATGGGTAGGAGTCGTGTAGTCGTGATCGTAAGTAGACCCCAGACCATTGGGGTCATGGTGTATTGCTTCTATTGCCTAAATTTATTCCATTGATATTTACCACACAGAAGAAACAGTCGTTTTTTTTCTAAATCACGGGGGTATTAAAATTTTACTATTTCTTTTTCCTTTGGGACGTTAAACACTCCATGCAATTTTGGCACGCGGTATGAAAAACTCATGTTTTATCTTGATTGCGCAATTCAATTTAAAAGTGGTTGAAATACGCTGGCTTAAGACAGTTTGATATAGGTTTTAGGTATTTTTCTAAAACATATTCACCGCAGATGTATCATTAACTATATGAATATGCACACAACATATTCGAGTCGGAGCCACACCAAAAACAGCAGGCAAAACTTATAGTTATTTGTTAAACTGCGATAATCATAACCATAATGACGAATAGGGGTAGTTCCCCAAAACTAAAAAACAGTTACGGAAAAAACGGACGGTATATTTGAAATCGCACGATTCTAAGTACATAGATTAAAAAAAAGTTTAAGGAAAAAAACAAAATTGCGATTTTTGTCACGCAGTGTAATAGATGAAATAAAATTGTAAGGTTAAATTAAATTTTTTTTAAATCAAACGAAATCATATAAAAATCCACATTTAAAAAAAAGTTTTCTTATTATATGATGTCTTAAAAACAAATATAAATATATAACAGATTCGCCAAAAAAAATAGATTATCCTTCCTTCTGCCGGTATACTACATAATAAAAAAATATAAACAATTATCACTCACCACTATTCGTGGGTGAAGTGGCGTTTGCAAACTGCAGATTCTGCTGTAGTTGCGCGTGCAATTGTTTATGTTGATGTTGCAGATGTGCGTGCAGTTGCTGCGCTTGCTGCTGTTGCAGCTGCGTCACCTGCAGCTGGTGGGCGGATTGTGATAGCGGCAACTGTTGCGTGCTTTGGTGCGACAACTGCTGCGCGGATTGCGAACTGGTGACTGATGCGAGTAGCTGCACGCCGCTTGCATGTTGATCAGAATTATGTTCGCCTGCAAAGGAAATATATCATTTCTAGTAATTTAGAAAGGCACAATCAAGTATTAAAATCTAACGCATGTGAATGAAGGCTATGATCGCATGAACATTCAAAATCGGCACCACCCGACGTCAATTTTTTCCAATACCTCTTACAATTACGCTTAAAAAAATCGATTTGAAGAAACGGGCCTTTTTCGTATATTTTAAATGATATCTTGGCCAAATGAGTTAGGAAATTGAAAAGTGGTATAGTGGAAAGGTAACCATAACCTTTCTTCTTTTAAAGGAGTAAAAAATTACCGACTATCAAGTTCAGTATTGGAGATAATAACTAAAATTTTCGCAAATTTAAGGTAATGATCAATGTTACAAAAACATGCATGCAGGGTGTCTCAGACCTTAACGTCAAATCGAAACGAGGTGATAGTATTGACCTTAACTGTCCATAAAATATTTAGAAAAAACATTCTCTCACGTTGTTTGAAAATTTTTAGCTTTTAAGTGCAACCTAGATCATAGGTCCTAGGGTTTTGGCGGAATTTTGACCATGTTTCGGTTATTGGGGTTAATTTTAATTAATTTTGTTCATTTAAACTTTGTAACCGCAATCGTGAATAACATTTCTAGGACAATTATGAACTTAAAATTTTTAAAATAGAAAGACTTTGAAAAGCTCTCCTATAAAAAAGATGTACTAAAGTGTGTTGGCAAGTTTTATCAAAAGTTGGCGCATTTAATCAAGACTGTAAAATGAAAAGATACTTGATAATTGTGTTATTAAAAAATTCGAGGAAAAAAACAAAAATCTAAAAATAACACGATAATGGCATTTCGCACGCATTTCACAACATTCAAACTGATTGTGAATAAAATTTACTACAGTTAAACTCACCAGGCTCGGAAATTGGAGATATTGGACTATCAGGAAGAAGAATCCCTTTTTGGACGAGATGCTCTCTGTTAGCCCTCACAGATATTTTGCGTTCAAGTGCTGAAAAGAAATAGATTCTAATAATATCTAACAAACAAACAAATATAGCAAAAGAAACATCTTTTGCATAAAACACCATGAATTGGTTAATTTAAGCAAATATTATAGAAAAGACAATAGAGCTATGAACTCGCATGTTTTTTTCTATAACTGCAGTTTATATTTTATTTATTATTAATTTTATGTTTGTTGAAGATATGTGTATTGTTGTAACTCTTCCCATCCAATTGTAGAATTAATACGCCGGAGTGGCTGTATCCGAGTTGAAAGTGGAAGTGCATTTATACGCAATATGGTACGTCCCAGGAAATGTACGATTTCACTGCGGAAAAAATTCCTGATGTTTGCACAAATTATCGACTTATGATTCTTAAAAGCACTTTCTATCACAAACTTTATTCTTAGTGGAAAATTGATCTTATTGGAAGTGCATACGATCATATTTGGCAAGTCTTCAAAAATTCAACGGGGTTTTAAAAAATGATAATACCGAAACTCGTAGTTTATACTGTAATGTTTTTTATATTTTTTTTGCTGCAACTTTTATAAACATAAATTTGTACAAAAATTAATTTCATATTTATATGTTTAACTAATTACCATATATGCGTACATAAAAAACTATAATATAGAAAATATTTAGTAGGTTTAATTTCATTATGTACATGAAAGAACTAAAGGCTATCCCAGAGATTCTTGTAATTTACTGATGTCATCGATGTTTATGGGTATTATATTATAGATACATTGAACGATAACGATGACTAAGTATCGAGTTAACGGATATCATACCTCATAAATATTCAGGATAAAATTAATTAGTATTTTAGCATGTATTATGAGAAGGGTTTTATACATACATGTATATATTAAATATATAATATAATATATATATATATATATATATATATATATAATACACATAAGTTGGAAAAGAGTTAATCATACAGCTCAGAACGAATGCAATTAACGAATGCAAAATATTGTCAGTTTTTTTCAAGTTCAATTCAATTATTTTAAAAGATCGTAGTAAAGGTTGATATTTTTATTACTGTCTCTTATATTCCACAACAAAAAAAAACTTTTAGAATACTTGAAAATCGTACATACATTTCGGTTTTTATACTTACTTAGCTAACTTTATATACATGCGCAATTTTTAAAATTGGTAAATTCATGGATAATCGAAGATTTTAAATATAAATTGTCTATAACTGATAAATGTCTTATCGTATGTTCGAAATTTAACTATTGTATTAATAATTGTAATTATTTAGACCTTCTTTAGTTTATTCTACGACTATATATGTTTATATATATATATATATATATATATATATATATATATGCCTGATACAATGATTCTTAGGCAATACACTTCTCTATCGGCAATCTTTCCAGTCCCGATATACACTTTCTAAAACAACTCAACATCTTTAAATCATAATCATATTATCTAAACGCTTCACTAAATTTTACCAATATAATTTCAACATTTATAAACTAGTTAAACAAATAAAAACTATTTTGTTGCATCATTTGTACCTAAATTTCGACAGCGAAACAATTCGCAATTAATTGAATGAATTATTTAATAGAGTTCAACTCTCAAACTTTGAAAGCCAAGGGTTATTAAATAAAAATGATGATCACTTAGAGCAGCCTGTCAACACCCCTGTAACAATTATGTTAACAATTTAATCAACGTTAAAACGTTAACAATAAACTCAAGTGTTCAGTGTTGCATAAGCAACAGAATCATAACTAGACATGACACAATATAGAAGAAACTGAAGTTAAACCAGCTCAGCAAATATAATAGACATAGAATGCAGCAACACCAAAAATAGTCAAAGTTCTCTTTTTTACCAGTATATCACTTATTTTCTTCAATTTTTCTAGAATTTTTCGTGGTACATCGGCGTTAAATTTTTTTTAAAAGCTGTGTTAAATAATGTTTAAATATTTAAAAAAAAACAGATAGATTATTTTCTTACTACTGATCCTGAGAGAAATATAAAAAATCCGTTTAGTGCAGAATGGAAGAGACTGGGAACAGTCGTGCCACTTTTTTTGATCAGCAATTATTTTGTTAATTTATCAATTAGATGGAAGAAAAGTAAATTAAATGGTGATCTGTCCTTAAATAACATAAATTTGTCATGAAATCAAATCATACCAGAAAAGAGCTAGTGTTACAACCGTCCGCACCACCACAGACGGTTGTGACAGGCATAAAAATAGCTATAAACACCAAAATGATTTATATAACGACTTTTATTGTCGGTAATAACAATATTATGTTACACAACACAATATAAACATTTAAACATAGCTTATGAATAAAATATAAAAATATATAACAAAATATATTTTTTTAACTAAAGTTAACAAGATTTTTTTGTGAATTCTTTTTTTCTTGTATTGATTTTTCCATTTCCTTTCTCTTTCCTATTTTGTCTTGTTAAGTTAGATTTTTAATTTTAGTTTAATCTACACCCGAAAAAAGGACAAAAACTACAACCACGTGTCACAACTGTACCTAACGCACACTTTAGGAGACAAATCATCGTTATGACTGAGTTAATTATCTACGCAAAAACTAATTGCTGGTAATAAACTACTCATATTCAAATTAAAGCAAAATAACAAAATGATCTATCTGTATATAAGAAACAGTTATTATTAAATGAAATTGAACAAATTTGAACAATGAACTTTTTTTGACTTTTTAAAAGCAAAGCGTGTTAATGTAAGGCACTGCCCGAAAGCAGTAATGGGAACTTGTTCGAACAATCATACATCGTCAACCTCTTTTTAAATACCATCTCAAAATCAGTATAGTTTAGTTGTCAATACAACTGTCACTATCGTACCCTGGCACAACTGTACCCAGTCTTCCTAATATGTATTTAGCGATATTTAATTAACTATTTTTTATTCTCTATTTTATTTACAACTGTCCAGTTAAGGACATTTAATAAATTTGTGGAATTTACAATTGTCAACCGTAAAGGGACATTGTATACTAAATGGACATATTGGAAAAACAACTCGATGGTTGTAAAATATTAACAATATTTTATTTATAATGATATAATCTTAACTAATTAATTGTAAGTAATTTCTTATAAATAATGACTAAGTTATTTCAATCTTTATCAAAGGAGTTGACTTAAATCCAGTGGCGCTTTTCTTTTCAACCTACGTCGATAGTTCTCTGACTGATGAGCTTGTTTTTATATTTATGTGCTGTTTTTGTTATTACATCTTTAATGGTATTAACTAATATTAACTGTCAAAAAGCAAAGTAAATCAATTTTGTCAATACACATATAATAAGTTAATCCTAACCATATATGTATATCTTTAACAAGTAAAATTTTCAAATTCTCGAATATATAATAATTAATCCAGAAGTCAATTTTAAATGCAATCAAAGCTAATATAGTAATCGGACTAAAATAAACAGCATCGTCGAAATAACAAACCAGAATAAAGATCAATAACGCCAAATTCCAAGTGACGAAAATGTCGAAAAGAAATCAGCTTCGGAGGATATAGATAAAAAACAAATAATTGAATATGTTGATCAATTTCAGTACATACTTACGATTAGAAAATATCACAAGTTAGAAGGTACACTACATGGAATAGATAAGAAAAAGTGGACACTACTAATAACCGTGGCTCTAACATATCAGTCGTATGAATTTGAAGTCCGAGAGAATGTACTTATAATGGTACCCATCCGCAGGCAACCTTGCAACCGAGCAATTTATGACAAAATGACCAATAAATGTCCAGTTGTAAATTTTTTCGGCGTCCCAAGCAATCGAACAAAATTTCATTCATTTTTCTTGAACATTAGACAAGAAAGTTTGTATATTTCGAACGTGTAATAAGATAAAATCGACTTTTGTTGCAAATTTTAGTTCGTTTTCATTTTATTTAAACATTGATTTTTTATATAAAAATCATATTAAGTTTTTATTTAACATTAATGTTGTACATTTGCAACAGATGGATTTGGAATGAGATCTGCCGCAAATATATAACTCAAAATATTGTTCAAACGTAGCCCGATAGCAGTTATAACAAATTATTCAGATTTTACATTATATTAGCAAATAATTTTAACCTGAAACATGACCTTAATCTAGGAATATACGTCTACATTTACAATAATGCTCATAACAAGAAAGGGTCGTGCAATGTCGATTTGAGCAGTAAAATCATTTTCAAATAGAATGACTCATATTTTTTAAAAATAAATTTAACCCTCCGTCGGTCGGATATTTTTTCACCTTCGAACGGTCGGAAAGGTCTGGCTAGACCACCATTCATTTTACATGCATTTATATGGGTTAAATGAGTTTTTGGTGTCTTATGTATTAACGATTATATAAAAAAATCAAGAAATATAAAAAAAATCGTTTTTTTTTGTTAATTTTTCTGTTTTAAATCAATGAAAAACAATATTTATTCTTTTTCGGCGCCTTTGAAATGAATGTGTGCATTACTCATCCGATTTTCAGTGTTTGCGATTACCAATAAGTTTGGTAGGTTTTCAAGGAACTCTCGTCATGAAAATACTCACATTCATGTTAGAACACATAGCAAAGAATATAAATTATTATTAATTGAAGTCGAAAAAAGTCTGGCCAGACCACGCCGACCGACGGAGGGTTAATGTTATAATTATTATGAAGGGCAAAATAACGAATTATATGAATTTTTATTTATATAATATGAATAAAATGTGGTAAACTTTATGTATGTAATAATAATTTTTTGTAGTACGTAAAATATTTCTCACTAAATAATAATACATCACCTTGCGATTCGAAAATGTGATGCAGGACCAAAATACAGAAGATAAAATGTACCTACAACATAACAAACGCGGAAGGAATGTAAAGGGCGGGAGAAGAGAGAACTTCATCGAATGCAATTATGAAACAAAACTGGATCGGGTCCATATTGGGAAAGGAGTGCCA